TGGGGGGGGGGGGGTTAAGCGCTGCGAACCACGACAAAAAAAAGCTGGTCGGGTGAATGAAGCTAATAATGACACTGGGGGTGAAGCCCAACTAGCAACCTTGTTTTTTTTGTGTCAGTTCAACATGCGGTACACGACACGAATGATCGTGTGTGTATTTTGGGTGGGTGCCCCGAAATAGCAATCACGGGACTGCAAGAATTGCGTTGCGGCTCATTGACTCTCTCGTAATGGCTTACTCTTCAGCCGGCCGTCTCGACAAGAAACCCTCGTGAGTTCAACCCCCTTCCCCCCCCCTCTGGCAACGGGGGCTCCCCGCGGAAATTAACAACGGGCACCGAGGACACCTGTTACTTACAGTTGTCCTTTCGTTGCCGTTTTTTCTTGTTGGATTGATTATTTTGTGGCTTCGGTTTGTTCCGCATGAGCACGAGGAGGGTGTTCCAGATGGATTGAGCGCCGAGTCCAATGCCACCGACGATCAATGCGGTGGGCCCCCAATTATCGGCGATCGTGTTGCCGAGGCCCATATGTACGTCATCAAGTTTGGGACACAGAAGAACGCTACAAATGAGCGATCATTCTTTACCACTGCATCATCCTCATCGCGATTTTTTTCCTGCACAATTTTCCCATGACACGGGTAGGAGAGTTCGCATGAGCACGAGGGCAATCTCTCGCTGATGAAGTACTATTTAATAGTGACGCTGCCAGCACCGGACGCGGTTCATGTAAGTTTGTCATCGCTTTTGTTTTCTCTTGCGCAGCAAAAGTGCAAAAGACAAAAAGGACGTTCGTTCACCATATTTTTCACTGCTTCCACACACACAACTTTCATCCTGTCCTGAACTGTTTTTCCGCGACAAGGATAGAGCTGGATCTACTTCGTCTCTCTCAAGTAAAGCAGAAAAAAAAAGAGAAACACTTGCTGAAGGCCACGTGTCTTCACTATCGTATCAACATGCGGGCGGATCGTGCGGCTTCTTTCTTTTCTCTTGCAAGCAACAGGATCACGACACGACAAAACAAGACAGGCAGGTAGCGACGAGCACGTGGTTGTCACACAGGCACGCCTGCTCTCCTGCCACATATTTCTTTCTGCACGACGAGCGTGCGACGAAGCAGTTTGTTTCGTGCCGGTACCACATAATTATGCGTGCGCAGAGTAATAACTACGGGGGGCAAGACGTGACAATGTGACCTTCCCTTCTCTCTCGCTTGCGAAGGACATGAGAGGAGTCCCTTCGTCCGTCCGTCCGTCCGTCCATGGTGGTACTTCTTCCCTCGTTCGATGTTAAAATTGTTTTATTCTTTCTTTCTTCCCTTCCCTTCCTGACAAGCGACCAAGATCGATCATGACAACGACACACACACGCTGACACACAACACAACACACACACGTTGGTTTGCCCTCTCCACCGCAGCTCGTCGCGCAACCCCAAAGCGAACGCACGGTTTCACCGCGTCCAAGTCGCACTCCCCCGCGGGACCCATCCATATATCCCCGGGACGGGAGTTGTACACCACAAAACAGAAAAAAACATAGTCTATGCATACAACAGGCGACAGAACAAACCAGCGTCCCTGTGCCGACAGCACCAAAAGCAACACCATGGCCGCCGGCCGTGGTTGGTGGTGGCACGATGAGATAGGTGCCCCCCCGTTATCTCGTGGAAGCCCTACAATGCAACGAGCCAACATTCTCTTGGCACACTTCTACGCGTACACAGCAAAAGCGTCATCTACACAACATATTCTTGAGAACAGCACACGCACACACATCATCATGACGCAGCGGACAGAAAAAGCCACCGCCGCCGGGAAAAAGTATGTCATCCCCTACACCTATGAATACTCAACAAATCCCTTTTCGTGCTCCGCGCTAAAATACTCTTTCGCTACACAACGCACATATCAAAAATAGCCGCATACCTTCAGCTGCGTCCCTAAGCCCCAACTCCGCAGACGCGTGTAGCAAAACACCTACCAATATCTTCATGATACCCCTAGCGCGTGCGCCAAAAAAAAAAAAAAAAACGGGACGTGATTTTTGGGCAAACGTCCCCACCGCACGCCTGAAAATCGTACCGGTGGTGTCGGGGAAAGGAGACGCTACGACGCCCCCCCGCCCCCCGCCCCCCGCCCCCCACACAGGTTACGCCGCCTCTTTGACGAATACACGATGTCGTTGTTGTCGTCACACTAGATGTATGTATCAACATGTGCGGCACTCCTGCAGAGTGGCTTTCGTCCTGTCTGCGTGACTCCCCGTCTGGAGTGTCTAGACTAGATGGGACGACGACAATTGAAAAAAAAAAAGGGACACACATGCTCTGGAGACATGTAGGTAGGTAGGTGCATGTGCAAGTGCGAGACCAAACAAAGCGACACCCACGACTAGACACTCGCCGCATAGACCGTTTGTTACAGCGGCAGCGGGATCTGGGGATCCATGACCTACGCATGGCTGACGCCAACTGCTGCACAACTCAGAGACACACGATGGTTCGAGAACCGCTAGACGGTACAACAGTTCTGAGGAGGCCAGCATGCTGACGTCATCGGATGCCCACGCCCGCAGGAAACAACAGTCCCGCGGAGCCGGAGCCCTCCCTGCTCTTGGGGCCCGGGAAGGCGTTCCAGAATCTTAGGGTCTCGTCTCCCGCCCCCGTGACTATCGTCTGTCCGTCCGGAGACATGGCCAGGTACAGTACCCTGGAAAGTGCATCGGCCGGCCAAGTAGAGGAAAATTGTGACAAGAATCAGAATTGTGGCCAAGGCAAGAGTCGAACGCGAACAAGGAGAAGTGATTGAGAACTGATGATTGACGAAGCAAAAAGCTTTTTGTCAACAGGGTGGAAGAAATTGAGAATTGACGCAACAAGAACGTTTCGTCACTGCAAGGACTGCGGCATTATCTCGAACAGGTCGTCATTCAATCATTGTATCATTGTATGAATTGTATGCAAGATAGAAGGAGGAAAAATAAAAAAATCGGAGCACGGACTCTCAACGACTGACAATATGTATTCCACCGCAGCTGTGGGTGGGGTATCCCGTGGTGACCACTTGTAATACCATGTATGGTATGTATATAACAGTAGTAATGCTGACGCGATTGATCCTCACCTAGTACAAGAAAGAAAACTGGTAGTAATCATACTGCTGATCCCTCTTCGTACAAGACAAGAGAGAATCTACTTGGAATGACGCTGATGCCATCCCTACTTCCTGCCGCCGTCTTACCTCATGGTGTGTCCCGTGAGTGTCGTGACTTTGGTCATGCTAGGGTACCTCCAGACGATGATCTGGTTCAGAGAGTAGCCGTGCGTGCTGACGATCTCGTTGATGTTCTTCGACCACATGAGGTTGCACACCTATGCATATAGCACCACATTCCGTATCGGGCGGCGGCGGGGGGACGTAGCGTAAAAACAGATGTTTGGAACGAGCATCCACCAATCCTATCTGCATAACAACGCACGGAGTACACGCGCCCAGCGTTTCCGTTCAAAACCCACGAAGAGCAACTGAGGAGAAACGGGTACATCCTGTCTGGGGGGGAGGGAGGGGGCGACGCCGAATGCGGGTGAAAATACCAGCTGTCCACCACCACTTGTTGTCTGGAGCGAGATGCTCCGTACGTGAGTCGAACAACGACCAGCGACAACGAAACGAGCCGTCACGAGGGGACGTTTTCGGTCGGTCACCCACGAATCAAACACGTGCGGCACGTGGACATAAAAATCAACCGGACAGATATTCTTCCGAATCGGAGACTTGATTTGGCAATAGATTAAAAAAAAAAAAAGTCGTCTGTGCAAAAATACGAGTGTAAAATGCCTTCTCCAAGACGTGGAAACGTCACAAACAACCGTCGCAAAAACACACTCTTTAATTTCTCAGCATCTACACATACACACAAGAAACAATGTAGGCCACGCAGAGAGAGAAAAGAGCGTTTTTTTTGTTCTGGTGCACGTGCATGTGGATTACCTGAGAGCCTGTGTCGACGCAGCTGAGCCTAGCGGACGTCTGGCTGTTCCAGAACCGGATGCACCGGTCCGCGGTGCCCCCTCCGGAGGCGAGGATGCCGTGCTGGTGCGGGCTCCAGGCGATGGCCTTCACCGCCGCGGTGTGCTCGCCGAACCGTAGGACCTATGCATAGGTTAGGGCAGGAGAAAGAGGAGGAGGGGGTAAGTGTACATATGAGGGTAGGCACACGGTGCGCGAAGAGCCGGAGATCGGTCGCAGGAGAGGGCATCGAAACTCAGACGACGCAATAGCACTCACGACTAACCTAACCCTAACCCCAAGTAAGACTCCCATCAAGATGCATGACGGGAAAATAATGCGACCGTAATCATATCGATGTGTTCGTGTGTGCTTGTGTTTCGTGCCGTGCCGTGCCGTGTCTGTCTGCCCGTCTGTCTGTCTATCTGCCAGCCTTTCTCTCTTCCTGTCTGTCTACCGGTCATCCCTGTCTCACCGGCGACGTGGAGTGCGCATTCCAGATGAGAAGCTTGTTGTCGTTGCCGCCGGAAGCTAGCTGCTTGTCATCGAAGGACCACTTGAGTCCACACACCTGACACAAGGATAGTTACAATCCGATTTGGATGTGACCCCCGCACATCGCAACAAGAGCGGGAAGGAAGGGGTGAAGGGTTGTTGTTGTTGTTGTTATTGTTGTTGTTGCTGGTGTCTTCACATTAAAAATCGTTCCGTTCTCTCTGCCCAGTACCTTCTTCTGTCCGTACTATAGTCCAACACTTGACGGGGTCGATTCCCGTGGTCACAGGCTACCTTACCCAAAAAAGGTATTCGAAAATGAAATGGACCCGAAGGGTCCGCAAGCCAATAGAAGTCAACGTAATGAGAAAATATCTTCCGGCCAAACCTGCGTAGATGGTGCTGGGGCCGTAGTTTAGTGAGCGACCACTCGGTAACTAGGGAACGATCTACGTGATCTACGACTTGTTTTTCCAGGTGTGGTACGGGTAGGTAACTAGGGAACGATCTACGTGATCTAGGAGTTGTTTTTCCAGGTGTGGTACGGGTAGGTAACTAGGGAACGATCTACATGATCCACGACTTGTTCTTCCAGGTGTGATACGGGGTACAAGCGTGCCTACCAAAAGATGCCAAACACTGCGGTTGTTCTGCTTCAATGGCCTTGCCGCCTGTCAGTGCCTCTTCTACTGGTTGTTTACCTCTTGCTTGTGACCGACGAGCTTCTGCGTGAAGGGTTCCGCGGCGCGAACATCCCTCATCAGGATCAGGCGATCTCGGCTGCCCGACGCTAGCGAGTGAGCGTTCCACGACATGGTGCCCACCCTACAAAAAAAAAAAAAAAAACGCCCGTTGGGCAAGGAGTACAACATTCATTCGGAGCGAAAAAAGTTGTGAACACGCGCAAGCACCAGCGGTGGGCGCACGCATGTGTACTGTTTCTATTGGCATCGCCAACAGGCTGACGAACGAAAATGCGTCGGTCTCGTCTCGGCGCGTGTGCGTGCCAGTGAGACACCATCAAACCGCGCGGAAGGAAGACGTCGACTGCCAACTCAAAACAGATCAAGAGACGTGTTTGCCGCATGCCAGAGTCGCGGCCACGTCACCACGATCGCCCAAACAACCGACACTACTTGGAGACCCCACACCACCTACCACCTACCACCTACCACCACCTCCACCACCTCCACAAGAACAACGACAACAACACCATCACCACTACCACCTCGCAACAACACACAACCCACCTGTTGGAGTGCCCCGTCATGGTGCGAATCTTCTTGCAGTTCCCGGTGTCCCAGATCTGCACAAGACCGGTATTCGTGCCCACGGCAAGATGAGTCCCCCTCTGCGTCCACGCCACGGAAGACACCACGTCCCGCCCCAGATCGCATAGCTTCGTCACCTGAAGGGTAGTGTGGCGGCGGGATTGGTGACGGTTGGTTGTTCAGCCGGTCCGGTCGCGTTTCTTAAAACATGGATGGCTGATGGGGGGTAACCGGCGCTGGCCAACGGGTGCCGACAGCAACAACATCGCCGCCACCATCAATGAAAACGACAACGGCGATGATAACAACATCGCAACCACTGCCCACACCTATGAACGACAACACAACCAACAACATCACCACCATTACTAAAAACTCGATCAACATTACGACATCACCATCAACAACCGAAGACAAGAGCAGTAGAAACAGCAACAGACCTTGCTGGTACAAGCACTCCACAGGTACACGCACGCGCCAAGCCCGACAGCCAAGACGTTGAGAGAAGACCAGTCCACAAGGTTAAGGTAGAAGTCGTCCTGAAGCTGCGGTGCATCCAGAACCTGATACAACATACGGCAGATGGGCGCCATAGGTCATGATTTTGGTTGGGCTCAGTTGGTTACGAGGGACACGGGGGTCATGGCGATACTATTCGTAAAAAAAATGACCTTCACTGCCGGGGTTTCGACCTCGTATTCTACCGCTTGGCGTCTTGTAGCGGTTGTTCGTTTTCTCCGAAGGAAGGGAATATATTTCAGACCTTGAAGGGTATCTTGGGAATCTTCCGCTTGGCCTTGCCGGGCTTGGACAGCATCCTGGTAGACTGGCTGACAGGAGAGATGGAGTACGACATCTTCACGTCCTCCTCGTACGCCTGCCTCGGAACCTGAATACCAAGATGGCCCACAGCGTCACAGGTGGCCCCGGCCCGGTCACATGTACCGTAGGCAAACACACGACAGACAGCGGTGTCGAGGAGATAGATCGCAAGCAACACAACGCACAGTTTCGGGGAGAGAATGAGCGAGAGAAGATTGGATCGTGATGCTCCTCGCCATGACCGAGAGACGACGGCAGGCATTAGTGAGGCAAAGTTCGACGTTCTACATAAAGGGTGTGATTTTGCGCTGCCGAGGCGCGACGCCGCATGCAGAAGAAGCACACTGTATTTCTCTTGCTTTGGGCATGCGTTTGACCGTATGTCGACGCCACAATCCCAACTTTTCATGAGAAAAACTAAAACTCAGTTTACAGTTCTGGCGGGTAGGTGTTGAATTGTGGTACCGTTACATACCAGCTCTCGATAACAAAAACAGTTGTAAAAAATGCCTGCGCATCACTAACCCAAGCCTCCACCCTACCATACATCCATTCAGAAATGCTCTTAATAGGGAAAAATACTGCTTGCCCACCTTGAATCGAAACACATTCGGCGAAGGAGTCAGCGCGCCTCCCGACGTCCCGCCGTCATCGCCGCCCACCCCCCCCCATATAATACAAAAATCACATCATAATAAAATAAGAAAGAA